GTTTAGCGGAATTTAAAATTTTATAAGTATTTATCTTATAAATACTTATTCCGTACATAAGTGTAACGAGATAAAAATAAGCAAGCATTTAAAATCTAGTAACTTTTACTAATTTTGATTTGATATGTAATTTATAAAAATTACCTTTGTTCTTGAACTCCTTCAGAACCGACGATGTTTGAGGAAATCAATCCCGGTTTGGTAACTATCACTTCTTGTGGTTACTCACTTTAGGAATCCAAATGTCTTCCCTCTAATCGTATCCACCTTTTGAACTTTGGTTCCGACTATAGTTTCTTCGCTAGTAGAAACTACTCGGTTTTTCAAGAAGTATAGAATATATATTAATAAGGAAATTTTACAAGAACTCTTTCTTGTTTTATCACTCAACTCTTTGAATGTTTTTCTCTTGAAAGAATTTAGCCAAAAACTTAGCAATTAATGTGCAAACATTTTGCACCTATTTATACTAAACATTTTAGTATAAAATAATCAATATTTGATATATTTTATTTTAAATAAAATCAGATTTTATTTAAATATTCATACCAAATATTGAGTTTTAATTAATAATGTGAAGTGGTTTATAACCACCATTATTGTATTAATAAAAATAAGATTAATTATTTAGATTAGTTAACAGCTCCAAACCACCATAATTAATTTATTCTTATTAATATTTAATCTTCAATCATATTAAAGATAAATAATAAAATAACAATTCTTGAAAATATTTTTCAAGATTTTATTATTTTAATCTATTCTTCCATTTCCTTATTTAATAATCTTATTATTATTTGGATTTGAAATTTAAAATCCAATTTTAAATTCCAACTATTAATTAGTAATTCTATTAATTACTAAATTAATATCCAAAATTCAATTAATCAATCTAATTGATTAATTTAATATATTCCTTTAATTGATATCTAATCAAATTAGATTTGTTAATTAATTCTAACTCTTTAGAAATACTATTTGAATTTTACCTTCATTCAAAAATTGGTGTGACCTTTTAGGTTCACAATTAATACTAGTAGTGGGTTTACAACTCTTTGTAATTTGAGTTATTCATATTAACTCTTATTCTTGAATTAAATCTTTAATTCAAGAACCCACATATCATGGGAACATCTAGCAAGTAGCATGAATCTAGTATTAAGTGAATAGCGATATACCTATTTCGATTACAAGTCCATACATGTAAAAACCTTTCGACATCCAATTTCCCGATCAAATCTTTGGGTATGATTTTTGTCGAAACCCAAATTGATTTAATAACTATGATTCCATTTCAAGTTTAGTAATTCGTTTATGAATCTCTATTCATCCCGCCTTGGCCAAGGACTTTGAATTACTAACTATGAAACACATATGAAATTCACTTATCTTCATAAGTGTCGAATCCTTTGTTAGTCAGACAAACTTCCATACATATTAATATAATACCCAAAATATCCCTTTATACGATTGTGCTAGCAATCAAAAGGATAAATCAAAGTAAAATATAATATGCACAAAGTTACCATCGTGCCTCAAGTCTAAGGATTAATCATGTACTATTGTAACATGAAAATTCTTATTCGACACGATAAACTTTCATTAAGAATTTTCATACGGTCATGTTCAGTGAACTTGTTCTCTAACAAGCACCCACATATATGTATTTGCGTCCCACGCTAATATTGGTGGAATGCAACATTCTTATCCAATAAGCATACATACTATGTGCAAGTCTTTTCCGGATTTATTCGATATCCCATCTCGAAACATCCAACGACTTGGAACTGTATTTAAGATCACAGCTTTCAAGATATGTTCCATGATCACCATCTCTATGCGCAACCATATCTTATAGCTATAAGTGATCTAAGGATTTTATCTTAAGTACAAAATATATGATAAATGCTTACTCTTAAAATAAAGTAATGCCTTATTTTTTTTAATATAATTCCAATAGATTGTATTTACAAGTAGAATACGTCCAATTTGATTGGAACGCCGGGTATCCTACTCTAACAGTTGTTAGGTTAGTTGTCTGATGGTGCTAGGCTAGTTGTCTGTTGGTGCTATGTTAGTTGTTTGTTAGTGCTAGGTTAGTAGTCGGTTGTTGCTCAGTTAGTTACCCGTAGATGCTAGGATAGTTGTCTTTTGTTGCTAGGTTAGTTATATGCAGGTACTAGAATAGTTATATATCTCTGCAATGATAGTTTTTTCAAGTTGCTACGTTAGCTGTTTGTTGGTGCTAGGTTAGTTCTCTGTTTTTTATAGGTTAGTTATATATCTCTGCAACCTTAGTTTTATCATGTTACAATGATAATGTTTTTGCTAGGTTAGGTCTCTGTTCTTGCTATATTAGTTATCTTCTGTTGCTAGGTTAGTTATATATCTCCGCACGGTTAGTTTTATCATGTTGCAATGTTAGTTGTATGGTGTTGCTAGGTTAGCTGTCTATTGGTGCTATGTCAGTTATTTGTTAGTGCTATGTTTAGTTATCTGTAACTGCTATGATAGTTGTCTTTCAATGCTAGGTTAGTTACATATCTCTACAATGATAGTTTTATCAAGTTATATATCTCTGCAATGATAGTTTTATCAAGTTGCTAGGCTAGGTTAGGTCTATGTTTTTGCCAGGTTAGTTATATATCTCTGCAATCTTAGTTTTATCATGTTGCAATGATAATGTTTTTGCTAGGTTAGGTCTCTATTTGCTAGCTTTTTTTAAAAAAAAAAAAAAACAACGCCCCAGGGACGGGGGATTGGGCAGGATCCCCAACATGTACATAGATCAAGACCCCAAAACGGGCCCAAATATCAAACAACTACAGTCAACATAGTCTCACAATCAAAAGGAAGACAAGAACAGAAAAAGAAAAAGAAAGGAAATACTACAAGGAACAAATTCAAGGAAGGCTTCATCTTACCACAACACATCTCCTCCTCTCTACAGCCTGCTGATCTGTTCACTAAGCCACTGGGAGGTGTTGATTTTCGGTTCTTTGTGCTCAAGATAGGAATGATGGATTTAAGCCACATTCCTACTTGAGAGGGGGGGGGAGAGGGGGGGTGTTGAGAGATGTGCTGTTATTTCCTGTACTACTTTGGTCTTTTGTACTGCATGGGCCTAGCCTTATCCTTTATATTTTTTGCGTCTTTTCTGTTTTCTCTAAAGTCGCTATTGTCACTTACAAAAGTGTGGCTCTCTTTTATATTTTAGATAGTTGAATCGTCTTAGATGACGTGTCCGTTTGTAACTGGTCATTATGGCCTCTTAGCTCGACTACTTAAGATCGAGCTCTTTCTTCTTCACTGTTAACGTTTTTCATTTTTCAGAGAATAATATACAGAAAATTTGGCCCTAAAAAT